CAATAAAGGTTCTTCTAATACTCAAATTTTATCAAGCAAATGAAGAGCCACTAGAGTTCGTTTTAGTTCGCTGGTATAAGAAAGTTGGTGAATTATGGGGTTGTTCTAAATTGAAGCTACTTGCACACTACAGTTGTATACCATTAGATAGCATAGATAGAACGGTGCATATAGTCCCGAGATTTAATAAAACAAATGAATATTTAATGAACAGTTTCATGTTCTAATACTAAATTATTTTTTAAATGTATATTATGTATCATTACCCAAAGCACTTATTTTTAATAGTACGTTACTTATCTAAATGTACGTTCAATATTACATATGTGTAATGTGTTGTTAAATCAATATTATTTGATTTAAATAGGTTCGATATTAATCGATTTACATAAAAATATCAATTACTACCGAATTTATTTAAATCGATATAAATCGATTTATATGCAATATCGATATATATTGATTTCAATAAATTCAGTAGTAATCGATTTACATGCTAATATCAATACATATCGATAAAATCAATATGTATCGATTATGATATATATCGATTCATAACTAGTCTGCCGATACATATCGTTATATTCTAATCAATATATATCGATTATTTGATATATATCGATTTGTATCTATCTAAAAAATTTCCTGATGATAAGCATCGAAAGCTTGAAGGTCATGAATTTCTTGCAAGCCTATAAGGTCTTTAAAATAAGAGTCTTGAAAAAACTAAACAAAAGAATCCGGATCATCTTGGATGTCAAAAAAATCTTGAGAATATCAGGATCGAGCTCTTGACGGCTATTAAGAAGGTCGATTTTAAGAAATTCATCCATCTTATCATTGAATAAAAGCATTTTGGTTAGTTAAACCGTGAATTTGATTATAAGCACAAAAGCATGAAAGGTAAAATTAGTTAATGTGTAAGTATAAATTGCTTAATCAGTTGCACTATCAATTTAAGAGTAACATAATGGCGCAGCTTAAACGTTCGCTATTGTTTATTATTAATCATTACACAATTAATGCTTATAATATGTGATGCAGATTTTTGACACTAGATGTAAAATTTATTTATTATCGATTATTATATGATTAATGTCTATAACACGTGATGCGGATTTTTTTGACACTAGATATTAAATTAGATTTTTTCTTTTATATATATAAAGAGAGTTCTTCTAGACATTTCTAGCTAGAGATGCCTAACAATAATATTTTGGGCTTAATAGCCAATTAAAATATAAAAAAATCATGTGGTTGCTATTTTTGTATAATACAAAGCTAACATGAAGGATGATCATCATAAATCAGTCTGACAAAACAAAAACAATAACAAAAAAGTAAAAAAGTAAAAAAAGTTAAAAAATACAAAAAACATTTATTTTAATTTATTCTGGTATACTAATTAAAATGTCAGAAAGACAATTTTACATATAAAACTTACCTTCACTCTAACTTTGTGCAATCCTAACTTTAGTTAAAATCATATAATCAAATATAGTTTTACATTGAATATGTATAAGTTAAATATCTCTGGCTAGAGATGTCTAGAATTTTCTATATAAAGATTATTTTTTTTGTATTATTTTTTTAAAAATTTTGATTAAAAATATTTTAATAACTATTTAATAAATTTTAATAAATCTTTTTTGTTTAAATTCTATAAATTTATAGAATTTAATAAAAAAAATTTTATAAAATAGTTTTAAGATATCTTTAATTAAAAGTTTTAAAAAATTTTAACTATTTATTAAAATAAAATATCTTTCAACTTAGATTAAATATATCTTAATAATTATCTAATAAAATTTAATATATATTTTTTATTTGAATTCTATAGAATCATAAAATTAAAATAAAAAATATATTAAATTTTATAAAATAATTATTGAAATAATTTCAATCTAAGTTTTAAAAATTTTAAAATATAAAATAATATCTGACTTTAATTAAAGATATTTAAACAATCACTAATGAAATTTGATGTATTTTTTTTAATTTGAATTCTATGGATTCATAAACACAAATAAAAAAAAACATATTGAATTTCATAAGGTAGTTGTCGAAATATCTTCAATCAAAAATTTAAAAACTTTAAACATCTATTAAAAAAGAAACTAACAAAATAATATCTAACTTTGATCAAAGATATTTTAACAACCACTTAATGAAATTTGATATACTTTTTTTAATTTGAATTCTATGAATTCATAGAACTCAAATAAAAAGAAATACATTGAATTTCATAGGTAGTTGTTGAGATATCTTTGATCAAAATTTTAAAAAATTTAAAAAAAGCTGTGATAAATCATGATAAAATAATACCTGACTTTAATCAAAGATATTTTGACAACCATCTAATGAAATTCAATTTACTTTTTTTATTTAAATTTTATAGATTTATAGAATTCAAATAAAAAAAAATATATTGAATTTTATAGAGTAGTTGTTAAGATATCTTCGATCAAAATTTTTAAAAAATTTAAATATCTATCAAAAAAGAAGCTGCAACAAATTATAATAAAATAATATCTGATTTTGATCAAAGATATTTCAACAACCACCTAATGAAATTCAATATACTTTTTTATTTAAATACTATAGATTTATAAAACTTAAATAAAAAATACATTAAATTTCATAGGATAGTTGTCAAGATATCCTCAATTAAAGTTTTTAAAATTTAAATATTTATCAAAAAAGAAGCTACACAATAACACCTAACTTTGATCAAAGATATATTGACAACCACCTAATGAAATTCAATATACTTTTTTTATTTGAATTTTATAGATTTATAGAATTCAAATTAAAAAATTATATTGAATTTTATTAAATAATTAAAATATTTTCAATCAAAACCATTATCCAAAAAAGGTTCAAATACTACATACAGTACTATTATAGGATATAAATTATAACCAAATATCTATTTAAACTTTATTTAAAGCACTTTAAATTTCTATACCAAATTTTTACTAAAACAGTTAAATAATAAATAAGTTTTTTTTTTTATTTATGATGAAGTATTTAAAGCATATATTATAACAATTTTTAAAATGCCAATAAATTAAATTTTTTGAAGAACAATTTTTTTATTTTTATTTTTTTTTAATATTATTTATATATGATTATATTAATAATGATAATACACTTAGATTTTTGTTAAATAATCAAAAAGTCAAAACTATATGCATTTGGTTACAATGTTTTTTAACAAACTCACTTTGAAATTCAGGATATTATTATCATTTATTTAGATTAGTACATAAATTAGAATTAGAAAGATTTTTAACTATTTGCACAATTCATTCAAAGCTATATAAAACATCATAAAGTTTAACCTGATCACATTGTAGTTTATTTAATATAAAACAATAAGAAAGAAGAATTTCTTCAAGTTGTTACAAATTAGACCACCAATTGTTATCAAGAATATTTATAAGAATATCTTCAGAAAAACCAGAAAGACTGCTATCCAAACCTTCATTTATTTTATTTACAAGATTCTAAGAGATAAATATGTATTATGCCAATTCATAAAAAAAGTAATACAAAATTTAATAAAATTTACAAAATTTAAATTATATACTGTAAAACATTTAGTATAATTTTGTATTATATAAAAATTAGATACAAATTCTGTATTTTGTATATCAAATATGCTTAGAAAAATTATATAAATCTTTAACAAATCAAACTTTTAATTAATTCTATTTTTCTGAATATATTTTGTATATAATAGGTGCATGAATATAAAACTTATAACCAATTATAGTAAACTTAAATAATTTTTCGGTTTTCACTTTTATGCACCCAAATATAGAATTCGCAATAAATTCTATATATAATACAAGAATTATACTTATTTAAGTTCTGTAAACTTTTATTAAATTTTGTATTACTTTTTTTATAGAGTAACAATTTAAATATAAAAATTAGTTAGATTCAAATTTTTAAAAAATTTGCTTATAATATATAGTCAACCCCTCTATAGTCACCTCTTCTATAGTCACAAAATTGATATAATTATAAATTTACTTTTACTAATTGTTTATAACTATATAAAAAATAACTCTATATTAGTTACACCTCTTTATAATCATAGTTTTTGTATTCTATAGGTGTTACTATAGAGGTGTTTGACTATAGTAATAATAAAACATATTTATAATTATTATAAAAATAACTTACTTTAAGGGCTGTACGTGTTTTTATAAGGCTTGAAAAAACAATAATAATGACTGTTCTATTGAGTTGTATTTGGTAAAATAAGAGATATATACTTATTACCATATATTATAATCTGTTTATTACAGAGTTGTCCCAATAAAAATATATATCGATTAAAAAATATTACAATCTTAATTGCTTCTTCTGCAGTAGTTTTAAGAGTTGATGAGTATCAGAATATATCTTCAACAGCAAGATTTGCTTGGTGAGCAAAACATGGAATAAAAACTTTATCAATATGAGAAGTGTGAAGACAAGATCGAGCAGCCATGAATTCAGAAGCTAAATCTATTACAAGACAATTAACTTTAATATTATCATCTACAAGTTTTATAAAAAGGTTATTAGTTATTTTTACAATTTCAGGCCATCTTGTACACTTTCTGGAAATATCTTCTGCACCCCAAATTAATGTTTTTTCTTTTGAATTAATTAATGCAATTCCTAATAAACTTTCTTTTTTAACATTTTTCCAACTATTGTATATTAAAGTGATATCAAGCTTATCTGTTTGGATATCTTTTTTTTGCACTTTCATAGAATTTATAGCAGTTTTAGTTAGAATTTGACCTAAGAGTGTTTTACGATTTGGTAATTTGATTGTAGGATTCATATAATAAAAACGCTCTTTAATTTTAGGATTATCCACCCATGAAAAAGCCTAGCCACAAGAAATAGTCACTTTTAAAAGTAATTTTTCAAGTTTTTCTTTTTGCTTGCTTGATAATAGTTTTTGAAATAACTATCTAATGTTATATTTAGGCCCAATTGGTCTGAATCTGTTAATTGAGCTCGTTTATTTGAATTGCTTTCACTAAACACCTCTTTAATATATTAAATTAAAATTAGATATATATTATTAGACTAGAGATGTATCATGTAATTATTATATATACAGCATGCTATGTATGTATAGTACACATGAAAATTTTTGCTGATCCTTTCTACAAGCCAATCAAATCATTAAATATACACTATATATACTATACGTTCTAAACATACTGTATTGTTTATATAAATAACACATCTAT